CCCCAAAACCCCAAAACCCCAAAACCCCAAAACCCCGGCTATACAGATTATATTGAAGAGATTAGGAATTATAAAGATTATAATACATTTGGAAAATTAATTCTCCTAAAATGGCATTAGAATGAGTTATTGTGAACACTGGGATGTTCATAATCGAATATGTGCACTCAACATTGTTCATATCAATGATCATCGCAAATCTAGGCATAAGTAAGAGAAATATCATTCTTGTATTCTAAATATTTGTACTTTCAAATCCCTTCAAAAATATAGTAGCTGGTGTACTCGATCTAACTTTGTCCTTAGGCATATGGTATCTCTGAATACACATATCAGAGCCAAAAATTTTCTGAGTTTGGGCCTTGTCCAGCCTCACATTACACATTGGGTCATACGCGATGTATATTACAAGGCCGATCAATGGTCATCCAAATATCGTCAGGAGACTGCTAAGAGCTGTTCTTCCGGCTAAAGTTTGGAAATTGCTCTTGTTCAGATGGCTTTACAAAAAAGTTGAAAATTATCCAATATTTTCCCATCTTATACACATGTTAGGGATGCTAACTTTCTGCTTAATTTTTGGATTTTATATAAACCCAGAATTGCATCAAAATTATAACAAGCATGATTCAGGAAAAGAAGCTGAAGTAGATATGGGGAAATTTGCCTTCATATCATCAATATGCCTTGGTTTGGATATTTTTATCATGGAGATACTCATTGCCATATCCATGGTTCCAGTCCTCCCAATCTCGGCTCTAATTTATGTCTGAAGCTACTGCTGCTGTTGGTCAGGAATTCGAACTATTATGAATGAGAAGCAAGGTGATGACGAAGACTCTGAAGAGGAAGAATCTGATTTTTTTAGAAATTTCAAAAAGGGAAGAACACTCCAGCAATTACTTCTTTACATATATAAGCACAATAAAATAATTTTCCGAAAAGCTAATTTTAGAGATCATTGTGAAGAAGTCACCACGAATCCTATACTTTCTCCAGATAAGAATGAAAATGACTCATTTTTCGGGGAAGAAATTTTGAAGAATGGGCGACCAAGGGAAGAAAGTTTTCTTACCAATGACGTGTCAAGAAAGATCAGCGAAATGGGACTGATAGATGACGTCAGCCTAAATCAATCTCCAGATACTTCTCTCACACCTGTTAGAGCATACGACCCTGCCATTCAAGCTTTTATAGAAGAAGTGCATAAAGAATTTTCTTTAGACAGTGACGTCAATGTAACTTCCCCACCTTATGTTTAGGAGAAACCGATCTCAATAAAAGAAAGAAAATCAGAGGAGAAAAAGTAATTTACTGTGTAATAACTCAATAGGATTACAGATGTGCCATCTACCAAAGAAAAACCCGGCAGGAAAATGACCGAGAACATTATACTTGTTAAGAAGAAAGGGCTTAAGAAAGTTCATAAAAACTCTCAGGCCTCCTTTAAGATCAGGGGAAGATCCTCCATGAAAAAGATCGAGAGAGGAATCTTATGCTCTATTTGTCAAGACGATGCTCAGGAGAATGATTCCATGCTTCAGTTAGATTGTGGAAGGACACATATCTTGCATTTTAATTGTCTTAAGGAATGGATCGCTCGTAAGCCTGAATGCCCATCCTGACGCTCAGATCTTTTTAAGCTATACAGTTCTAAAATCCTTGACGAAGGCAAGAAGAACAGTGAACTTTATCAATACAATGAGTGTCTCTATGCTGAAGACTTGATCCCCTTGAGAAAAGCAAAGCTGAATCTGTTTGAGGAAATAGAATATTTGGAAAATCTGGAAAAGAAAGAAGAAAGCGCATCTTTGAATATTCTACAAAGATTGTAACCTCAAATTTAAATTTCAATGTTATGAAATTATTTGGGGTTTTGGGGTTTTGGGGTTTTGGGGTTTTGGGGTTTTGGGG